AAAAAAAAAAAAAAAAAAAAAAAAACGTGTAGAGCATTGAGTAATACTGTATATGTACAATCTCTTCAGTAATTAAAATTTTAAGAAACAATCTTTTCAAAAGGAGCCATCCACAATCCTAATAAACCTATTTTTGTCAAGTGGTTAAATAAGCAACGACAAAACTAACACTGAGAAACAGTTTTGAAGTGCCAATGCTATGCTTCATCAAAAGGTACCGGAACACTTAGGTATTGATAAAGCGTTGCTGTTGAATTGCTTAATTCATGAAGCGGCAGTAGCTCTAAAACCATTTGAAAAACATGCGCCGGAATCGAACAACACTGACCTGTGCGGCTAACCAAAGCAGTTTAAAGTTCCTAGAGTACCATTCTCTAAAATAGACCCTTTCAATCATCGGGATCTTGAAGCGGTTAAATTAAATAAAATAATTAACAAAACCACTCCGTGTTGAAACATTCCTACGCAGCATAAAAAGAACCTGTTGTATGCAGCCAAACTTTCGTAATTTTCGTTTAAGAAACTCTTATAAAAGTCTGACAATTCGTTAGCGGTCGGCTTCTCGTGCAAAAGCGAATTACTTTTTTTCTAAAAATGTCAAAGAAGTGCTAAAAGAATGTGAAAGAGCAAAGCAATGAGAAGAGTCGCAAATTTATGAAGCTTGAAATATACATGTGCAATAAACTCAGCCTTTCTTTTTTCGTATAAGAGATTATGAGTTTCCCAAAATCGATGATTCCACTCATTCATATTTTCCCAAAATTCTCGAAATTTTCGTTCTGTAGAAGTTTCGTCGTGAAGCCTTCTCAGCCTGGAAAAAACTACACTAAGGGAGACCACAAATTTATAAGACCAACAACCGGTTTCCTAGAATTTTCGCTTGAATAAGAAGAAGATAAGACCGAGAAATTTTACCGAATCGGACGTATTCTGGAAACTTTATCAGGCGGACCAACCCAGTCATAACGACGATCCAGCCTCGTTTGTTTCACCGGAGGAAATTTCATCTAATCAGAACTAAAACATTTCACTCAGAAAGAAGGTGCCCTACGATGGGCCATTCAAATAATCATCTCAATAAAGTAAAAAGAATATTCGCTTTAAAAACATAGTAATAGAACAGTTACAAAGTCACAAAACTGCCAAAACATCAAGTCAGTTTTTAAAACAGTTAGAAACCCTACTTAGAACTGAACCTACTCAAATACTCTTAGTATTTGACTTAGATAGCAGTACAAAAGTGCCGGAAACTTACATTAAAAAAAACTTTGCAGCGCCGTTGAAAAAAACAGATAAACAGGAGAATTGGAAGCACAACAGTCTTAAGAAGCACACTTGATCCAAATCAGTTAAATATGTAAATAAAAAATCAGAGCATTATCAGTCCCGAAAAATGAAACAACGAACAATCATTGTTAAGGGAAACGCATACTTACCGTTGCTTCGCCCTCATTTTCTTTACATGTATACCTCCAGGCATTAATCCACAGATATATAGCTGTTAGATAGAAATATTTGCCTCGTGAATTGGCACTTAATGTGCGTTGGAAAGAAGTCAAATTCCTCCAGATTACTTGAAAGGTTGCTTGTCATATATACATGGGCCATTCCACGTCAAATCGCC